CCCACAGCCAAGTTATTGATGGAGCTAAGCTCTGAATTCGGGCACATTTCAGGAACATGCTTTTCAGTATTTGCCTGTCACCCATCATATCCACGGGAGTAATGACACTAAGAACATATGGCAAGACATTTTGAGACTATAATTCCATTTTGTGGGACCAGGGGGTTGGCTCTTAAGACACATGCTGTTTTGTAAGCTATCCTCTGACCCTCACATGGATGCTGTGGCACATGTGTAGACACACACACGTTTTTTTAAAAGTTTCATCTTATGATCATAATTCTATTTTAGCATCGCACCTGTCCAGAAGAGCAATAATAATCTCTAGTTCAGCTGCTTGGTAGCCAGAGAACTAAGAATTCAAGACAAGCCTGGGCTACAGAGTGAGTTTAGGTCAACCTTTGCAAATAACTGAAACCTTGTGTCAATAATGCTAATAACAAGAGTAAGAGTAATAATGTTTCTTTCTCTCCTGACTCCCCTGGCTAGGGTAGGACTGAGCCATGCTTATCTGTTGAATCCTTCCTTAAGCCACTCTGTGGCTGTGTTTGGGGTGAGAAAGTAGTTAATATTGAGTGAGGCAGTAGAAAGCTGCATGAGGTTGCTCATGCCTTTAATCCCAGAACTTGGGAGGTAAAGGCAGGCAATCTCTGAGTTTGAGACCATCCTGGTCTTCAGAGTGAGCACCCGGTCAGGCTCCAAAGCTGCAGAGGAACTCTGTGGGGTGGGGTGGGGGGGTATGCTCTGATAGCGCCACTGTTTTTACAAGTTCAAAGGCCACAGACAGAGCCTTTTCTTTTATTGCTGTAAATAATTTTTTTTGTCTCTGTGTGTCTAGTACATGTTCATTTGTATGTACATGTATGTTCATGAACTCCAGCGCTTAGAACTGTATTCTCTAGGGTACTGTTGCTAGGAAGCAGGGTGGGCAAGGCTGTTGAAAGAAGCCATTTCTTCCTGTTGGGTGAGTGTGTGTGTGTGTGTGTGTGTGCCCTGGTTACCATGGTTACACTAAACCTCAAACAGGGGGAGGGGGGGAAACACTTCCATAAATGGCTCTCTGAAACCTGAGCAGATGGAGATTTTGTAAACCTGGCCAGACTGTTACCTTTCTAGATTTCTGAGATAATTCCCGAAAGCTTTCTCAAATAGGAGATTGATTGGATCTGTTCTTCAGGGAGGTGAGGAAAGGATGGAGGCTGTGCCCCTCATCTACAGATCTTTAACCTTAGTCTTTCGGGAGACAGAAGAGGTGTCCCTGCAAAACAGTTTGTGGATAACCCGAAAACACAGGAATGGGTCTAAAGGTCCAGTGAGCTAACACACTTGAGCCTGTGGCTTCTGTTTGCCAGGCCGTGTCCGTGAATGTGCACACCGTTAGGATTCAGGGATTGCTTCCCAAGCATGTGAACTCCCACTAATGTGATTTCACAGGGCCCAAGGAAAGGCCAATTTAACATGACACACATTGTGGACGCCGCCAACTTGATTGTGCAGTCGATTAAAATTCATGTGCTCCTGGAGCTTAATTAAGAGTAGCCAATAAGAATAATAAAAGAGATTTGATTATGTGGTTTCATTTATTGCCAATTTGTTCTGCAGAACGAAACATCATAGTTCTGATTTGACCTCTCCTAAGGGAAATACTTCTAGAGTATTTTTATCAAGAATACTGGAATACGGCGTTGGCTGGATTCAGATTTTTATAGGCCATAGGAACCTTAGTGATCTGCAAAAGTACAGCCGTACGGCTCTGTGGTAAAGAGTACTTGCTGCTCTTAGAGAGGACCTGGGTTCATATTGCCAACACCCACACGGTGGCCTGCAACCATCTCTAATTCCAATTACAGCAGATCCTTGCTTCCATGGCCACCAGGCAGGCACATATGCACAGGCATAACATGCTAGCAAAACACTCATATACAAAAATACAAATAAAATTAAGAAAGGTGTTACCGGGTGGTGGCTTACTCCTGTAATCCCAGTACTCAGGTGGCAGAGGCAGGAGGATCTCTGTGAGTTTGAGGTCAGTCTGGTTTACAGAGTGAGTGACAGAACGGCCAAGGATACATAGAGAAACCCTGTCTCAAAAAACAGATGGATGGATAGATGGATGGAGATAGATGAAGATAGGTAGAGATAGATAGATATAGATGGATATAGATAGATAGATAGATAGATAGATAGATAGATAGAGATAGGTAGGTAGGTAGAATGAAATAGGTAGGTAGAATTAGATAGATAGATAGATAGATAGATAGACAGACAGATAGATAGATAGATAGATGATAGATATAGGTAGGTAGAATGAGAATGGAAGGTGGCCACTGTTATATTAAATCACTGTTGCCACACACAAGGATTTTCACCTGTCGAGAAGACCACTCTTAGAAAATGCTTTTCTAGATCTTTCCCCAGTGTCCTGAAACGATGCTGTTGCCACCCGTTTATCCGTTTATTTAGAGACGGTGCCTCTTGTAGCCCAGGCTGGCCTCCCACTCCCTGTGTTGTTGAAGGTGACCTTGATCTTAGGATATGTTTGTTTCTACCTCCCCAGTGCTGGAATCCGAGGCATGCACCTGTCTTATACAAACTGAGGATTAAATCGAGGGTTTCTAGCCAAGCCATTTACCAACTGAACTCCGCCCCAGCCCACCACTGGTTGGACTTTTACAGGTGTGCACACGTGTGTGTTTGTGCATATGTGTAGAGACCAGAGGCTGATGTTGGGGTTCTTTCTAATACTCTTGTTTTCCGAAACAATGTCTCGCTGAACCTGGAGCTCACGATTGGTTAGAGTACATGGCCAGTGAGCTCAGATGATCCTGTGTGTTCCCCCCGGCCACACAGCACTGTGGTCCAGACATGCCATCATGGCCAGCTGCTGTGTAGCTTCTGGGGCTCCCGCTTGGGATCTTATGCTTATGTTGCAGGGGCTGTATCGACGGCCTGATACCTGCTGGAAAGTTAATGGTGACATTAGAGTATCATTCCCTTATAAAAACTGTCGTGTCAGGACTCTTGAAGCCTTTAGCGGTGTTCTGGTGTCATGCTGTGAATGTGGCCAGAATTCACAGGGAACTCAGATGCTTTCTGGTCACCATCCATAGATGGATGGAGGTGGGAAGCTATCACTCAGACTGAGTCGACTGTGAGGCATTTGCGTAAACGGGCACAAAAAATGTAAAACTTCAGAACACTATGAAGAAATCAGATCCAGTTCGCCACTGTTAACTGGGTTCTGGTCGTTCATTTACAGCCCGTCCTGCAGGCAGGCAGCCACCTCCTCTGCAGCTCTGTGATAGGACACAGCCCAGCTTGGCGTTGACCAGGAAGTTAGCGGTGCACATGGACGCCTGTTCTGAGTCAGCGAAGGACTCGGTTTTAGTGGGAGCTCCCCACCACTCTCGAGACGCGCTTAGCCTAACACCTATGTCCGCAAAGACATCCATTGTATGCCAATCTTTCTCTGCTTGTTTAAACTTCTGGTGTTGAACTGTGAAGGCTCCTTTCTCTGGTCCTGTAAATCTAGTTGAAGTTATCAGATTCCCTTAATTCCAGTAATTCTTTGAGAAATACCAGTTCCCGCCAGCTGGGCAGATAATTGGCAAATCCTTTCTTCTCTTTTTTTTAACAGTGTTGGAGGTTGTGAAACTGGACACCGTATAATATAGAATTCTTGCGACCAGGCCCATTGCGGGGGGAAAATGTTTTTATTAATAGTCTCTGGCTTTTGCTGGAGTTACCAAAGGAGAAAAGAAAGTTATAGAAAAAAGTGGCTGTCCATAAGCTGATCGTGTGCTGGTGTGAGAAAGTGAACCTAGAACCGAGGATTAGTATAAGCAGGTCATCGTCTCCGTCCGCTGTCAGCCAGCCTGTCTGGGAAATGGCTGTGTGCACACAGCATGTCAGAAACAGCAGATGTCAGAGCCATGGTGACAGAAAGCAGGGTCAGGGTCCACCATTCTCCCCAGATGCTGGGGAGTGCACCTGATGGGGAAGAAGGTGGCGTCTCTGGTGGCCACGCCTTACCCCTGCCAGTGGTGCATGAGCTGACCTTACCCACAAGGATGCTGTGCACCTACAGGTAGCTCTGGGTCTCTCCTTGGCTGCCGTGACTGGCATCTGTTAGAGAAAGGAAAGTGTGCAGGGCCCAGCCCTGAACCGTCTCTGTCGGCCCTGTGGGATGTGAGGTTGGGCTAATTGAACGCATCGCTGCCCCCATCAGCTCCCAGCCCTCGCTGCCATTCAGAATCTTGAGTCAGTGGCTGCTAAACTGTTCGTGAGCATTGAAAGGGAGTGGAAAGGCAAGGCCAGTGACTTTGCAGCCTCCTGAGGTGGGTGTGGTAGAACCCGAGGCATCTTACCAGCAAGGTCTCAGGAATCCACTTCATAAAGAGAAACCAAGGCATGATTCTAACTAAGTTGGGGTGTTACACATGTCACTCTCTCGTCTGAGACTTGAACTCAGGTTAGTTGTTGGGCTTGGTGGCAAGCCCTTTTACCTGCTGAGCCATCTCACCTGCCCCGGCTTAACAATGGCATGTGGCAGGTAGAGAGACTCAGTTCCCGGCTCCCTGTGTGGCAAACCCAACACCACTCTCAGAGACAGATGCTTGCCGGGCATGCTCATACATTCCTGCCTCCCCAGCTCTCAGGAGGCTAAGGCAGGAGGTTCAAGACCAGGCTGGGCCACACAACAGCGCTTCTTCCCAAAACAAACAAAAGCCAACAGGAACAGGTTGTTGTTAGAAAAGGGAAAGCTGCCTGTGTCTGGGGCTGGAGTGGAGAGACGTCGATTTATCTCTGTCCAGACTCGGCAAGAGAGAGCTCAGACACCGAAAGTGGCATCCGGCAGGATGTCACAGGGTGGGTGGTGGCCAGTCCTGCATGACCCTTGTGAGCCCCCTGCCTGGGGAGTCGGGAGCAGCTTGGGTTGTGTTCCTGGCTGCACGCACGCAGCAAAGGACGCTTCTAACCCCGGTTCTTTCTGTCCACAGCAACGAGCTCCGGGGAAGGTGCTGCTCGATGCCGTCTGCAACCATCTCAATCTCATGGAGGGCGACTACTTCGGCCTGGAGTTCCCTGACCACAAGAAGATCATGGTAGGAGACCCAGGGGACACCAGCTGACTGTCACCGCCTTCCCCACCGTTCAGCTTAGGGGTGGGAGGAAGCATTACCTCTCGGGCTCCGCAGAGGGAGAGCGCCCAGAAGGCCCTAGTTTGTATTTCAAATATGTATTTGTTTAAATGTTCAAAATACATGCTAAGGTGGTTTGTGCGCCTTCCAGCAGAGACCAAGGCTGGAAACAGCCTCCCTGCTACCCTGCCTTCCACGGCCCACAGGTTGAGAACCACTTGCATGTGGATATTGATTTTTGCCTGCATGCATGTCTGTGTACAATGGGAATGCAATGCTTGTGGAGGCCAGAAGGAGGCGTTGGATCCCCCTGGTACTTGGTGACAGTCAATTAAGAGCTGGCATGTGGATACTGAGACTCAAACCCACATCCTCTGGAAGCCCAGCCAGTGCTCTTCACCCTGAGCCAGCTTTCCTGCCCCCACAAACATGGTTCTAGCTGCCCCGTAGTTTACAGAGATCATAATAGATAGAGGAGTTCACTGTAAGATGCGTTTTATTTCTGTTTGTATCCAAAGCACTATCATTTAATACATAATTCATCTCAGTAACTATGGATGCTCCTGACACCAACTTCTGTGGGTCCAAGCTGCCTGTGTCTGCTCAGGGACCATCACTTAGATCTCCAGGGCCACACCAAGCTGCTGGCTTGGGCAACTGCTGGTGCGCTTGAGGCATCATGGGCCATGATTTGATTCCTGGGTTCCTTAGTGTGGCCTGGAGCCTGGAGCATGCTGGGTAGATCGAAGGGTAGGTGTTAATGGTATGAAGCGGTGAGGGAGAGGGAGACACGGCTCAGAGTTGACCAGCTTGTGGGCTAAGTGGGTGGAGAAGGGGAAGCCTAGAGGGAGGACCATGTCGGGGGAGTGCCGACTGAAAAACCCTGAACCAAGGTCGGAGAATGAAAGAAGATATGCCTAGGACAGATGACAAAGGCAGAGCCAACGAGAGCCACAGGCGCGCCAGGGCCGTCAAAGTTAAACCTAAGAAGAGAGTGTCCCAGGGAAAGACGGCGGCACACGGACCCGGGACCCAGTGTGAGGCAGGAGATGTTTCTCTACGTCATTTCCACTGCCAGATGTTCTGCCGTTAACCCCACCTCATTCCAGCTGCTGGCTTGCAATGGTGTCTGTGGTCCTACACTAGGCTATGCAAACTTTATCCCCAGCCCATGCTGTCCCCTTCTAGCCTGTTCCGTAACTGGAGTGTTGTTCCACGAGCCCATTTTATGTTAAAGTAACTGCTTTCCAGACACCCGAAGACACGCTGGCTTGTTGTTTCTAACAAGCGCACTGAGCCCAAATTGCTACATGCTTCTAATGGCTCCCCTGTCCCCAGGCATGCCCGAGGCCCGTCCTCTAGAGCTGCCTCTCCTCTAGAGACGCCTCTCTGCGGTGAAGTTAGAGCTGGCGCTTTGCAGTTGAGGGGTGTGAGATCCTGCAGGTAGCGCAGTGCATGTGCGGTCAGTTAGCTAATGGCTGAATAAGTGCCCCACCCACACCCTACAGGCTCCAAACAGTGTCTTTCTGTGTAGCCCCAGAGACTTCTCTATGCTACGTTTAAGGACCCCTTTCAGGGGCTGATGTGTGACCCACGATAGCCCTTAAAAACTGTGTACACCTACAAAAGCAGAATGAAAAACCTCAATGATGTAAAGACATGACCGGTGTCTACTTCGTATGTGATGGAGATAGAAACATGAGACTCGGGAGTATAGCTCAGCGGTAGCATACATGCATGCTGTGGGGTCCGTTCCCAGACACTTCCCTCTGCCACAGCGCTCTGGTCCAGTGGCAGACGGGACCCATTCTGAACAAGGTGGGAAGGACTAGATGTGGCTCTGTTCTAATAAAACTTTACAAAGTCAGAAGCCGAAGTCCGAGCGTGCCTGCTCTGAGGAGTTGTAAGCCATGCCTGGTTCCATCTCAGAAGTTCTGCAAAGGCACTCAGGTAGGAAGCAGGGGAGGAGGACTGGAATTCTGTCACCGTCCCGTCCGGTCTCTGTGTTTTACTCCCTGTCGGTCAGCTCAGGAACTGATTTGATATAATGGCAAAAACAAGTTATTTTCACAAAATTGATCTGCAGCATTAGAGGGGACTGTATAAGAGAACAGCGATGTCCAAGCAGGGTCCTGGCTGTCCCTCCATCTCTGGAACAGTGGTGTCCAAGCGGGGTCCAGACTGTGCCTCCATCTCTAGCTGGCTGCAGGGTTTGGGAGTACAATCCTTTTAAAAGTCACCGAGTTTTACCATTGCAGCATGTACCACGTGTGTGTATTGGCTACAACCTTAATGAAAATTTACTCTAAAGTACAATGAGCTCACGGTGTGGTGACGGTGACAGCCCGATGGCCTGAACATGCCCAGCAGCTGATAGAATCGCCTTGAGGTGCTGGGCACAGTCCCCCCAAGGAGTGTGATCATCTACATCTTCTCGGATGTGGAACCCTCCTGCCTTCACCAGACAGTGTAACCCAGGGCCCGCTGAACTTCATTGCCACCTCCTTGCTAAGCCTCTTGGTAACAGGAAGACTGGGGAGAAGGGTGTCCCAAAGGATCAGTGTGCTCACGGCTGTCCACGTTAAGGATCATGTGTACTCACGGCTGTCCACGTTAAGGATCAGTGTGCTCACGGCTATCCACATAAAGAATCATGTGTGCTACGGCTGTCCATGTCAAGGATCATATATGCTCATGGCTGTCCACGTAAAGGATCATGTGTGCTCACGGCTGTCCACGTTAAGGATCATGTGTGCTCACGACTGTCCACATTAAGGATCATGTGTGCTCACGGCTGTCCACGTTAAGGATCATGTGTGCTCACAGCTGTCCACGTTAAGCACAGGTCCCAGGGACCTGGAAGCATGAGTTACAGAGAGTCCATCTCATTGTGATTTCTGTGTGTGTCCCAAATGGGTAACTTGAGCTCTGTAGTCCTAGCCATTGTTAACTATGACTCATGGTCCTGACGTTGCACACGGCCATTCACATTCAGTGTGTTTGAACAAGAGCCATTTTGAGCCACACCCCTCTAAATCAATTGCACAACTTACCATGCTCCTGCCCCGGCACTTACCACTCAACTTCCTGTTTCTAAGAACCAACCCCTCTGGACGTTTGTGTCTGGTGTCCTGCACTGTGTCTTTACCTGTCTATAGCTGGGCTTATTTCACTCCAAGGGTCATCCACACAGCAGGCTCTGTCTCCTTTTTCCATGCTGGATGCCATCCCTGTGCTATGTACACCATATTGTGTGCCCTCCTTTCTCCTTTGATGGATACGTAGGTTGCTTCTTCCTCTGGGCTGCTCTGAGTGATACTGGAAAGAGCATGAGCTTAGCATTGCTATGATACCCAGCTGTGATGCCATCGCTATGATATCCAGCTGTGAGTTACCTTGGCCAGGCTCCCTTTGGAGGGCTGCTTATAGCTGCCCAATCCTGGGGCCGCCTCAGTTAGCTTTGCTTAGTTTTCTGGGTAGGATACATGGGGAACGCTCAGACTACCTGCCAGACTAGGGCTGTGACTTTTGACCCTGGGTGAGAAGGTGTCAATTTCAGGCTACTTGAATTCCTGTTCAGCCTTCTTGTCTCTCTTCTCATTGTTTTAAATGCTCATGCCCAGTATCATCCTCCTCCCCAACCCCCCACCCCCGTCCCTCACATCAGGGCCAAGCACCCTACCACAGGGTAGACACCCTACCACAGACCTCCTACAATCATTTTTCCTGGGAAGGAAAATGAAGGCTTCTGCAGTCTAAGGCATGTTCCTGGGGTTGTAAACACATGCGTGTTAATTATTAAATAGTCAGTTGGGCGCTACTCTTCTTGGGCTTGCCCTGTTCCTCCTCAGGTAGCACAGGTGATCGCTCTGCCCACACAGTGAGTGTGCCTCCTGTCGCCCTCTGGTCCCTGAAGGATCGCTCTGCAGAGCAGAGAAGTCCTTTTGTCAGTCTTACAAAAACGGCTTGGGTCTTTGCCTGGCACGGTATTGATCCAGGTGTGAAGACCGAGTACTTCATGCTGACCAGAACATGGTCTAAGGCTGATCAAAGGTGACTTTTGATAACAGTGGGCATTTTCCCCCTACTTAAGACTCTGTTAGCCCATTTGCTCTGGAACCACACCAAAACAGGCCGTGGTCCAGATTTGACCCAGGCATACCCAGTTACCAGTCTCTGCTTGGTTTTATTTCTCCCATCCATCAGTCTTAGCAGCTAAGTTCAGAGAAGTTCTTGTCCAGCCCTTCACAATGAAGCCGATAGCCAATCCCCCTCGGGTCAAGCACTATGCCCTGTCTGTTACCTTTGCTGCCTGTCTCCAGACTTCCTTCTGTCAAGGAGTCACTCCATCCAACCCAGACAGCTGGTGGGTAACATTTACCCCTCCAGCCGTGGGAATGCGCCCAGTAAGGCATCTGCCACGTAATAGACACTTGGCTTTCTCTTGGATTCTGCCCTTGTATTATAGCTCAGAAAACCCCTAAGGCTAGCCCACCAGTCTTTAGTGACACAGTTCTCGGTGCGATGAACTGATCTGCTTTCTTCTAAGTCAGTGTGGGTACTCATGGGGAAAAGCCTGACATGTGCCATTCATTTTCTTGTCTGTTTAGCTGAGACAAAAATGTTGCCTGTGGCAAGTGAGATTTTGATGGTTTTTGTGTCAGAAAGTGCAGTCATTTGGTGTGACAGGTGTCCCTTGCTGGATGACCTCTATTTATGAGTAGTCAGCCCCTCACCTTCCTCCCTGGAGATGCATCCGGGGCAAGATTGGGCCCTGTGAAGGACACGCCGGGCATTACTGGTTACGAATACCGCAGGGTGAAGGACACCCAGACCGTTTGGTAAGCCACAGGAAGTTAGGGAGCACAGCTGTAACCACGTCAGTGGCTGGCACTGTGCAGGCCAACAGGTGGTCCCACGGTGATAGGTCAGGCCTCCAGCGGTGAGCCTTTTAAGGGGAATTT